ATTTAGTTCTCCGTAACTCTGCAATTTCGGGCTTCTTGCGCGCTGGTGCGCTACTTTTTTTTCTATGTCAATAATATCTCATTTTTTACTTAAATCTTGCCGTTTCTCTATTACGAGCCTGAAACCAAAATTTGACATGTTTTGACATCATTGTTTATCTGGTTGTCATGGCAATTTTTATTCAAATTCGTTACCGGTCTGATGTTTTTACTTCAATACTTCCACAAAAATACTTTTTTCTTCTTGGCCATTTACAAAAATTTGCTTTTAATTTGAATAATTTTCCGTTCTTATCCCAGATCCGCCGTCGAGGTATAAAAGCCGAACAATCGGCGAATAAATTCAGTCTCGCTTCAGCTTTCAAACTTGAAGCATCTCCTAAAGGCCTTATCCCGGGGCCGCACTGCCCCGGGATCCTGCAAGCCTCTACCTTCACCTGAAGTCGTCGCCTAGCCACACCCACGCCTCCACCTACAAGTGCCCGCGCTATCTTTAGCCGCTGTGCGCGCTTACTCCAGGCGCTGAGAGCGCCTACTCAAGGCGCTGTGTGTGCCTACTCCAAGCACAGCGTGTGCCTACTCCGGGCGCTGCGTGTGCCTACTCCGGGCGCTGCGTGTGCCTACTCCAGGCGCTGTGTGTACCTACTCCAGGCACTGCGTGTGCCTACTCCAGGCGCTGCGTGTGCCTACTCCAGGCGCTGCGTGTGCCTACTCCAAGCGCTGCGTGTACCTACTCCAGGCGCTGCATGTGCCTAGACCAGGCGCTGCGCACCTACCACAGGCACAGCCTGATTATACTCCTTGAGCAGTGAGCACGACCGCCAATCGCGGTGTGTCATTTTGGTCTTTTGGCTCCGCTTCAGTACTCATTTATCTTTATTATCTTTTTTATAATACTTGTAATTCACGTCATCCATCATCATCATCATACTTCATTTTTTTATATAAAACTGTAAATACCTTTTTAAATTTTAAATAAATTATTCGTTTTTGTTCTATTTTCGTTGTTTCGTTGATGTTAGGTTAGGTTCTTTTGTTTCTAATTGTCGCTTCACGACAAACATTGACTGTTTTTATATTAATCAAATGTATAAGATAAGATACCTAGGAGATAACCTGATCATATTGTTTGAACAAGACGACATAAATATGAGACACATTTATGATGAACATGTAGGATCTGATATGGCATGGTATCAGTTCCGTGAAATGTCCTCAACTGTGTGGAGTAAACCTTTCAATTATGTTGTTATAAATAAAGACTTTGAACGAAATAAAGGCTGTAATAAAATTAGGTTTTGACTTGATAAAATGAATATTTTAAACATATTGCAACAAACATCATACGATAACAACTTTGAAATTTTCGAATATCGTTCATACAAACCATACATTACGTTATGTAACTAGTTTTAACAATAATGACGAATTATGTATTCCTATCAATCAGCAAAACCTGTACCTTCTCTCAGTAGTTTAAATATCGAGGGAAAAGTGAACGTTTCTATTTCAAGACATACGATATGAACTTAATGGAGTAGAAGTAGATAAAATTAAGAATGCGGAAGCATGCTACTACAATAAAATCTTATCCATCCTTAAATGAAAATGAATCCAAATGTGCACGAGTTTGGGGCTGGTCAATTGCAGGAACAAGCAATACTGTTGGTGGAATGTTTTCCGCATCTATATAATTAAACAAGATATTAGGATTTGCAGAAGATTATGAAAAAGTTATAATTGATTGTAAACACGAGTTAGTATTATTAGGAAGCAATACGTATCTTAATGCGATCAAGTTAAATACAGATGAAGTCGTAGATGATATTATAATAAATAAAATTGTTTGGCGAGTTCCACATATCAGAGTTTCAGATCGTGAAAGAATCAACCTATCAAAACATTTAGAGAAAGATAATGCTATTCCATTAGCGATCCGTTTCTTGGACTTATATGAGTATCCATTGCTACCCAAAATACGTAAACATACTTGACCTATAAAAACTTCAGCGCAAATAGAGAAACCACGATTTGTTGTCATCGCCGTCAAAACCAACTGCAAACATAACTCAGTATTATCAATGGCAGAGTTTAACCATTGTCACGTACGTGATGTAATAGTCTTTTTAAATTCATCATATTATCCTTATGAGGGACTGAATGTCAGTTTTTCAGAAGATAAGTTTTCTTTATTATAGGAACAGTATGCAAGATTTCAAGAGTCTTATCACGGACGCCAGTCAGAGGCTTTGTTGGGTTTGAAGGAATTCAGAGACGTAGCGCCATTATTTCTAATTAATTGTTCAAGACAGCACGAAAATTTAAAAGTTTCGAGTTGAAATCGAAACGGACAGAGAAATACCATATTAAACAGCTGCTTATTGCTTGATTTTAAATGATTGTATATTCGAGTACAAACTATTGAGTAATATCGTTAAGAAGATATCATTAATAGCAATACAATAATTGTAGATCTTTAAGGATTCAAAAATAGCAAAAGTGAATTTATAGTAAAAGTATTTGCTATAGCCACTCTAGAGTACACCAATATATTCCTAATTAAACCTCCTTACCCGTTCACTTCACTAGCTCTTTAAAAGAAAAAACAAATTTGCTGGATTGAAAAGCACAGGGGGTATCGATGGATTAAGGGCTTTTTTGATTATATAGAGAGTTTCACAGAATTATCAAGACATATTTGAAAGATAAACAGATTTTTTTAAAAGGATGTGAAAAAATTAAATGGGCACAAGATCTTTGTGATGGAAATAATACTAACATAGATATAAATTGCTTAGGAGGAGGGATTAAATTATGAAATGGTGTTTTGAAAACTAAGTGATTGTCTGATTTTCTGTAAATAAAAACTTCATCTTTTAATTTAAACTATCACTGTGTTCGAGGAGAAAAAAAATAGTTTCAGACCAGCAACGATGAGTATTATTAAAGTAACTGGTTTTTCTTTGTACCACATTGCATTTTTAAGGATGAAGTGGAACCTCTACTAGAGAGTCTATCCTACCATTATGAAACCTTTGTAAAACGAAGGGAACAGATCAGTATGCATAATCTGAAACAACTTTATAGCTACAGCAATTGAGAAGTCCTATTGAATTTGTCAAACAAATTTGCCATATTACTAAAGTTTAAATTAAATTTCCGCTTCATTTTACAAAAGTGTTACAACGGGTTAATTAAAATTATTATCTTGGACTCTTGTTAAAAGATCGATAAAGAAAAACTGTATTTTATTGTTTCTATATTTGCATGCTTGAAATTCTACAATCTTATAATGAAGTACATCTTTAGGTCCGAGATAAACAGTCGATAACAAGAACGCATCTTTGCCAAATAATTAACCCAGCTTGTTTCTTGGGTTCGTTTAAGCCTTGAAAGAGTGCGGATGTTTAGGCTAAATCTTAACATTTAAAACTTGCATTCAAGACGCTCAACTCGGTCGCCTGACGTGTGGACGAATAACCGGTTTGACGGCTTGGATCGGCGGGCGACTCGTTTGCTCGCGGCGGGCGTGTACTGTGAGTCTGAAAATTACGCTCAAATCGGTCGGCCGCGTGACGAACGCCTCTGATTGCGTTGTCTCTTTCGTGCGTTTACGTGACAACGAGGCTTTTCTTGAGTTTTGAGTGATTAACTTATCTTCGATTGCCATTAATTTGCGTCGACGAGTTGCTTGTGTGGCATTTTAATATCGTACGAAAACATTTTGTCCCTTGTCGGTAGAACGCTAAAAATTTGTGACCCGAGAGGAGATCGCGTTCGTATTCGATTATAATTTTGTGCTAAGTGACGTTAGACTTGAGTTCACATATAGGTGAACGCCCACTGGAGTGATCGCACATTGTGAAACAGAGCAGCGCATGTGGGTCTGCTGTCCGATTACATCGGTGACGTCAGGTTACATTTACACACAATTTCTCACACCACTTACATCCACTTACTTACCACCTGACTGTACCTTGTGGTCGACCCTATCTCCGGAACTCGGTAAGTTTGTGTTTGCTTATCAGCCATTATATAATAACTATCCATAGGCCATTTGGGCCCGAACCCTCTGATTGCCCGTCGAGTGGGCTACTCATGGGCCCTAGCCCAGTCGACTTCTGTCGGGGCAACTGAGGGCCGTAACAGCGGACTTTTTAAATTTATTTTTGAATTATTTTGATAGTGGGAAATAATAATCGCACGGCATATCGTATATATGGGCGCAAATCGCCATCTATCGGCAATAATTAGCAAATATTGATATATGGACGCAAATCGCCATCTATCGGCAGTAAGTGGCAAATATTGATATTTATGTTAATAGTTAATCGTTTAAAAGTGAATATTAGTATAGAAATATAATATTATAAGTGAATATATTAGTATAGAAATATCTGAAATATGTAAGATTTAAATTTAAATTGTTATTTATAAACATAAACCGTTATTTATTATGGTCTGATATTTAGTAGACACTGTTTTGACTGTTTGAAATTTTTGAAGACGTTTGATGTTTCATTTATCGTTAAAATACTAATTTTACTGTGTAAATGTTCAAATTAATATCTATTAGAATTAATATGATCATTTTGTATCAAATTTTATTATTTTATGTAATAAGTCTTGTTTAATTTCATTCGAATCTTGCTTGCCACCAGCGCCACCTCTTAACAATATTAGAGCCCGGATTTTGACTGACTGAAAAACTAATGTCTATTCAAATTAAATGAACAAAGATTTATGTAATAAAAATCATTTGTAGTTATTTAAATTCATTAAAATATTTATTATGAATACTGAGCTCTATTTTAAGAATTATTTTGTAGTACTTAATTTTAGTTGTTTGATTTAAAAGAAGTTGTATTTGCTATATCCATTTTTGTAAAGGAAACTATTGGAAACTATAAAGGCGGTTGATTTTTGTAAAGACTGTTCTGTTCTGTACCCGTAATTGTGCGAAAATAAACTACTTAATATTTGGCGTGCTATTTCATTGTGATGGACTCTGAGCGTGAAAACCCTGGCGTATCGCCGACATCAGAAGTGGGATCACAGCCCCAAGACTCTTCAGGGCCTCCAGATGGGACGACCTTCACTATGGAACAAGTGATGGGTCTCCTAACCTCCATAATGAAAACTGCCGCGACAAGCGCTGCGAGAGTGACGTTATCCACGGAGACTGCATCTTTACGGCGGCACCATGACTTTTATCTACCGCCGTTCAACCCTGATGAGAGATCACACGACATCAGAGACTGGTGTGCTAACGTGGACGAGACCATTACGAAGTTGAATATTTCACCCCATGAAGCTCGAATGAAGGCCATCTTGCAATTGAGAGGACGAGCAAAGACATGGGCCGACACCTGGTCACTGCATTCAACCACATGGGAACAAGTAAAGGAAGAGCTGACTCATACGTTTGGCAACCAGTTCCGGTATGCGGACGACGTGCAGAAATGGCGCAGCTACACTTCCGACCAAGCGAGCAGCTACGCTGAATATGCTACAACGGCTTGGACGCTCTTCAGGAGGGTTCGACCAGAAGCTGCCGATACCGAGGTTGTGGAGGCAATAATCACAGGTATTTTTCCTGAATTTATTCGTTCTGAGTTGTTGAGAAATACCCCCAATTCGTTTCCCAAATTAGTATCGGTTCTAAAAACATTCCGAAAACGTAAAATTGAAAATAGAGAGAGTAAATATAATGATGTTAAGAAACCACGTGTTACGGGACCTTCAAAGGAACAAGTCGTATGTTTTAGTTGCAATAAGCCAGGTCATTTCTCACGAGACTGCAAAAATCCCTCAAAAAATAACCCTGTTATGTCACAATCAAATAATAATTTCAATTCCCGTGGCAGTTCTAGTAACGTTAAGGTTATTGAGTGCGAATACTGTCTTCGTAAGGGCCACTTAGAGAAAAATTGTTACCGCCGTCAAAGTGACGAACGTAATGCCTCAAATAAAACGATTAACTATTGTTCATCTATTAAACGTAGCACTTTTAATGTAATAATTGGTAACAAAAATTATAACTGCCTTTTTGATACAGGAGCTGACTGTTCATTAATTCGAGAGAAAATAGCCGGCTCCGTTGCCGGAAAACGTAAACAAGTTGATGTGAAGTTTATCGGTATTGGGGGTCAAACAGTTATTTCAAAACAAAGCATTACAGCTGTAGTTGAAATTGATAATGTTCGCTTAGAGCTCGAGTTTTATGTAGTGGGTGACAATGAAACTCAATTTGACATCTTAATAGGTTTTAATCTTTTAAAAATACCCGGCCTTAGCGTTACCGTTAGCGAGGACAATATATCTATTAATCGCCAATTTTTTATCAATGAATGTTTAAATTCGACATCCTGTTTTGAATTAGATACCGACCTTACTAACCCAACACAAATTAAAGAAATCTATCGTATTATCAATAAGTTCAAAGATAATTTCACATCTGGAAATCGCGTGTCACAGGTGAGCACCGGGGAACTAAAAATTAGATTAAAAAATCCCGATAAGATTGTGCAACGCCGACCATATCGTTTGTCCCCGATGGAACGTGAGAAAGTCCGGGATATTATTAAAGACTTAAAAGAAAATGGCATAATAAGAGATAGCTCATCACCGTTCAGCAGCCCTATATTATTAGTTAAGAAAAAGGACGGCACGGACCGACTATGCGTTGATTTTCGAGAGTTAAATTCAAATACCGTTAGAGACAATTATCCTTTACCCCTTATAGCAGACCAAATTGATAGATTAGGCAAAGCTCGATATTATAGTTGCTTAGACATGGCCTCCGGCTTTCACGGTATTCCTATAGCAGAAGACTCTATCGAGAAGACGGCATTTGTGACGCCGGATGGACAGTTTGAATATCTTCGAATGCCATTCGGTCTTTGCAATGCTGCGTCGGTGTACCAACGCGCCATAAATGCTGCCTTGGGTAATTATAAACATAATATTGCTTTAGTTTATGTTGACGATATTTTGGTTGTATCTGAATCTGTGCAGCAGGGTTTGATGAATTTGAATCTTGTTTTGACTAGATTAACTCAGGCTGGATTTTCTCTAAATATTTCCAAATGTTCTTTTCTCAAAACTAAAATTGAATATCTCGGTAACATTATTGAAAATGGCACTGTTAAGCCAAGCCCAAGAAAAATTCAGGCTCTTACTGACTCTTTAACACCTAAAACTATTAAAGAAGTTAGGCAATTTAACGGCTTAGCAGGCTATTTCCGAAAATTTGTACCCAATTTCTCTAAAATCATGGCCCCTTTATACAACCTTACTAAAACAAATGTTTCTTTTAATTGGACTGAACGTCATGAACTTGCTCGACGAAAAATAATTAACATACTCACATCTTCCCCAGTTTTAACTATATTTGACCCAAATCTGCCAACTGAGCTACATACAGATGCCAGCTCAATTGGTTATGGCGCTGTACTGATTCAGAGAAAAGACAAAAATCCTTTAGTAGTGGCTTATTTTAGTATGAGAACTTCGGATACAGAGAGTAAATATCACTCGTATGAACTAGAAACTCTTGCTGTGGTTAAGGCTATAAAACATTTTCGCCATTTCCTTTATGGCCGGTCATTTAAAGTAGTCACAGACTGCAATTCCTTAAAAGCTTCGAGTCACAAACGAGACTTAACTCCTAGAGTGCATAGATGGTGGGCCTTCTTGCAAAACTTTCAATTTGAAATTGAATACCGCAAGGGTGATAAACTTGCTCATGCTGACTTCTTCAGTCGTAACCCAATTAATAATTCTAATGGACGTCAATTAAATCAGTGTTTAGAATCTAATAAAACAAGTTCCTTAATTTTGACCATTAATACCGCTACCCTTGACCATAACTGGCTCCTTATAGAACAAAAGCGCGATTCAACTCTAGCTAGTATTGTAAAACAATTGAAAGGTGATTCGATTCCCAAAAATATCGCAGAAACTTACGTTATACTCCAGGACAAATTACTGAGACGTAAAGTACAAATTAATAACAAGACACATAAGTTAATTATAGTCCCACGTAATTATAGATGGAGTCTTATATCCCATTATCATGATAATCTTCAACATTTTGGCTGGGAAAAGATTGTTGAAAAATTACGAGAGCAGTATTGGTTCCCTAATATGACCAGGTTAGTTAGAAAATTTGTAGAAAATTGCGTTATGTGTAGAGTAAGAAAAGGAGTATCTGGCGCTAGACAGGTTACTTTACATCCCATTAACAAAATAGCTATTCCTTTCCATACCGTTCATGCAGATATAACTGGAAGAATGAACGGAAAACGTAACGAACCTGAATATGCTTTTGTATTTATTGACGGCTTCACTAAGTATGTCCATATGATTTATACAAATGATCGTACTAGTGAAACTGCTATTAAATGTTTTCAAAATCTAATTTCAATATTTGGCCCTCCATCACGATTAATTACTGACCAAGATAAAAGCATGACTTCTACAGAGTTTAATAACTTTTGCGAACGGTATGGGATTCAACACCACGTAGTAGCAAAGGGAGCTAGTAGGGCCAACGGTCAGGTTGAGCGATTAATGAAAGTTATAAAGGATAACATGTCTGTTATTGAACTAAGTAGGCCATGGCACACAGCTTTACAAGAATTACAATTAGCTATAAACTGCACAATATCAAAAAGTACAGGTAAAAGTCCCATGGAATTATTATTAGGAAAAAGACGTTCCCCACCTGCCATTAAAATATTGCAAATTGACGATGACATACTAACAGACGACTTAGAGGAAGTTAGATTGATTGCTAAAAAACGGATGGACGAGCGGTCCCTTAATGATAAAACTCGTTTTGATAAAGGTAAAGCCACAATCCACCCATTTAAAGTCGGTGATTTCGTCTTAATGCGGCGCCATGAACGACACACTACTAAGTTAGGCTCTAAATTTGAAGGTCCAATGGAAATTTTAGAAATATTACCAAATGATCGATATAGACTTAAACATGTTAACCTTCGTGGCTGTTCAGAAAAGATCGCAAGTCACGATGCCTTGCGTCCTGCTCCTATAGCTCAATCAGACCCTTTTAATGATTCTGACAACTCAGACGAATTGACCGTATGGGCAGAGAAGTCGGTGGAGACCGAGGGTGCTTCCACTTCCTTCGCGGACAATGTTGGTTCTATATGATTGCAGTTATGTTGATAATTGATATATATGATTTATTTTTGTAATTATTAATGTGTGTACGTGAAATTTATTTTTCCTATCCAATATCCTTCCTAAAACGCTGGCTGGCCACCATGCGTATTCCTTTAAACCTGGTCTTGTTGGCTAGATCCCAGGATGGGTGATGCCTTGTGTGTTGGCTAGATCCCAGTATGGGTGATGCCTTGTGTGTTGGCTAGATCCCAGTATGGGTGATGCCTTGTGTGTTGGCTGGATCCCAGTATGGGTGATGCCTTGTTTGAAATTGTCATAAAAACAGCGCAAGGGACGCGCTGGAGTCAGTATGGCCGTATGGGCGCAAATCGCCATCTATCGGCAATAATTAGCAAATATTGATATATGGACGCAAATCGCCATCTATCGGCAGTAAGTGGCAAATATTGATATTTATGTTAATAGTTAATCGTTTAAAAGTGAATATTAGTATAGAAATATAATATTATAAGTGAATATATTAGTATAGAAATATCTGAAATATGTAAGATTTAAATTTAAATTGTTATTTATAAACATAAACCGTTATTTATTATGGTCTGATATTTAGTAGACACTGTTTTGACTGTTTGAAATTTTTGAAGACGTTTGATGTTTCATTTATCGTTAAAATACTAATTTTACTGTGTAAATGTTCAAATTAATATCTATTAGAATTAATATCATTATTTTGTATCAAATTTTATTATTTTATGTAATAAGTCTTGTTTAATTTCATTCGAATCTTGCTTGCCACCAGCGCCACCTCTTAACAGTATTAGAGCCCGGATTTTGACTGACTGAAAAACTAATGTCTATTCAAATTAAATGAACAAAGATTTATGTAATAAAAATCATTTGTAGTTATTTAAATTCATTAAAATATTTATTATGAATACTGAGCTCTATTTTAAGAATTATTTTGTAGTACTTAATTTTAGTTGTTTGATTTAAAAGAAGTTGTATTTGCTATATCCATTTTTGTAAAGGAAACTATTGGAAACTATAAAGGCGGTTGATTTTTGTAAAGACTGTTCTGTTCTGTACCCGCAATTGTGCGAAAATAAACTACTTAATATTTGGCGTGCTATTTCATTGTGATGGACTCTGAGCGTGAAAACCCTGGCGTATCGCCGACATCAGAAGTGGAATCACAGCCCCAAGACTCTTCAGGGCCTCCAGATGGGACGACCTTCACTATGGAACAAGTGATGGGTCTCCTAACCTCCATAACGAAAACTGCCGCGACAAGCGCTGCGAGAGTGACGTTATCCACGGAGACTGCATCTTTACGGCGGCACCATGACTTTTATCTACCGCCGTTCAACCCTGATGAGAGATCACACGACATCAGAGACTGGTGTGCTAACGTGGACGAGACCATTACGAAGTTGAATATTTCACCCCATGAAGCTCGAATGAAGGCCATCTTGCAATTGAGAGGACGAGCAAAGACATGGGCCGACACCTGGTCACTGCATTCAACCACATGGGAACAAGTAAAGGAAGAGCTGACTCATACGTTTGGCAACCAGTTCCGGTATGCGGACGACGTGCAGAAATGGCGCAGCTACACTTCCGACCAAGCGAGAAGCTACGCTGAATATGCTACAACGGCTTGGACGCTCTTCAGGAGGGTTCGACCAGAAGCTGCCGATACCGAGGTTGTGGAGGCAATAATCACAGGTATTTTTCCTGAATTTATTCGTTCTGAGTTGTTGAGAAATACCCCCAATTCGTTTCCCAAATTAGTATCGGTTCTAAAAACATTCCGAAAACGTAAAATTGAAAATAGAGAGAGTAAATATAATGATGTTAAGAAACCACGTGTTACGGGACCTTCAAAGGAACAAGTCGTATGTTTTAGTTGCAATAAGCCAGGTCATTTCTCACGAGACTGCAAAAATCCCTCAAAAAATAACCCTGTTATGTCACAATCAAATAATAATTTCAATTCCCGTGGCAGTTCTAGTAACGTTAAGGTTATTGAGTGCGAATACTGTCTTCGTAAGGGCCACTTAGAGAAAAATTGTTACCGCCGTCAAAGTGACGAACGTAATGCCTCAAATAAAACGATTAACTATTGTTCATCTATTAAACGTAGCACTTTTAATGTAATAATTGGTAACAAAAATTATAACTGCCTTTTTGATACAGGAGCTGACTGTTCATTAATTCGAGAGAAAATAGCCGGCTCCGTTGCCGGAAAACGTAAACAAGTTGATGTGAAGTTTATCGGTATTGGGGGTCAAACAGTTATTTCAAAACAAAGCATTACAGCTGTAGTTGAAATTGATAATGTTCGCTTAGAGCTCGAGTTTTATGTAGTGGGTGACAATGAAACTCAATTTGACATCTTAATAGGTTTTAATCTTTTAAAAATACCCGGCCTTAGCGTTACCGTTAGCGAGGACAATATATCTATTAATCGCCAATTTTTTATCAATGAATGTTTAAATTCGACATCCTGTTTTGAATTAGATACCGACCTTACTAACCCAACACAAATTAAAGAAATCTATCGTATTATCAATAAGTTCAAAGATAATTTCACATCTGGAAATCGCGTGTCACAGGTGAGCACCGGGGAACTAAAAATTAGATTAAAAAATCCCGATAAGATTGTGCAACGCCGACCATATCGTTTGTCCCCGATGGAACGTGAGAAAGTCCGGGATATTATTAAAGACTTAAAAGAAAATGGCATAATAAGAGATAGCTCATCACCGTTCAGCAGCCCTATATTATTAGTTAAGAAAAAGGACGGCACGGACCGACTATGCGTTGATTTTCGAGAGTTAAATTCAAATACCGTTAGAGACAATTATCCTTTACCGCTTATAGCAGACCAAATTGATAGATTAGGCAAAGCTCGATATTATAGTTGCTTAGACATGGCCTCCGGCTTTCACGGTATTCCTATAGCAGAAGACTCTATCGAGAAGACGGCATTTGTGACGCCGGATGGACAGTTTGAATATCTTCGAATGCCATTCGGTCTTTGCAATGCTGCGTCGGTGTACCAACGCGCCATAAATGCTGCCTTGGGTAATTATAAACATAATATTGCTTTAGTTTATGTTGACGATATTTTGGTTGTATCTGAATCTGTGCAGCAGGGTTTGATGAATTTGAATCTTGTTTTGACTAGATTAACTCAGGCTGGATTTTCTCTAAATATTTCCAAATGTTCTTTTCTCAAAACTAAAATTGAATATCTCGGTAACATTATTGAAAATGGCACTGTTAAGCCAAGCCCAAGAAAAATTCAGGCTCTTACTGACTCTTTAACACCTAAAACTATTAAAGAAGTTAGGCAATTTAACGGCTTAGCAGGCTATTTCCGAAAATTTGTACCCAATTTCTCTAAAATCATGGCCCCTTTATACAACCTTACTAAAACAAATGTTTCTTTTAATTGGACTGAACGTCATGAACTTGCTCGACGAAAAATAATTAACATACTCACATCTTCCCCAGTTTTAACTATATTTGACCCAAATCTGCCAACTGAGCTACATACAGATGCCAGCTCAATTGGTTATGGCGCTGTACTGATTCAGAGAAAAGACAAAAATCCTTTAGTAGTGGCTTATTTTAGTATGAGAACTTCGGATACAGAGAGTAAATATCACTCGTATGAACTAGAAACTCTTGCTGTGGTTAAGGCTATAAAACATTTTCGCCATTTCCTTTATGGCCGGTCATTTAAAGTAGTCACAGACTGCAATTCCTTAAAAGCTTCGAGTCACAAACGAGACTTAACTCCTAGAGTGCATAGATGGTGGGCCTTCTTGCAAAACTTTCAATTTGAAATTGAATACCGCAAGGGTGATAAACTTGCTCATGCTGACTTCTTCAGTCGTAACCCAATTAATAATTCTAATGGACGTCAATTAAATCAGTGTTTAGAATCTAATAAAACAAGTTCCTTAATTTTGACCATTAATACCGCTACCCTTGACCATAACTGGCTCCTTATAGAACAAAAGCGCGATTCAACTCTAGCTAGTATTGTAAAACAATTGAAAGGTGATTCGATTCCCAAAAATATCGCAGAAACTTACGTTATACTCCAGGACAAATTACTGAGACGTAAAGTACAAATTAATAACAAGACACATAAGTTAATTATAGTCCCACGTAATTATAGATGGAGTCTTATATCCCATTATCATGATAATCTTCAACATTTTGGCTGGGAAAAGATTGTTGAAAAATTACGAGAGCAGTATTGGTTCCCTAATATGACCAGGTTAGTTAGAAAATTTGTAGAAAATTGCGTTATGTGTAGAGTAAGAAAAGGAGTATCTGGCGCTAGACAGGTTACTTTACATCCCATTAACAAAATAGCTATTCCTTTCCATACCGTTCATGCAGATATAACTGGAAGAATGAACGGAAAACGTAACGAACCTGAATATGCTTTTGTATTTATTGACGGCTTCACTAAGTATGTCCATATGATTTATACAAATGATCGTACTAGTGAAACTGCTATTAAATGTTTTCAAAATCTAATTTCAATATTTGGCCCTCCATCACGATTAATTACTGACCAAGATAAAAGCATGACTTCTACAGAGTTTAATAACTTTTGCGAACGGTATGGGATTCAACACCACGTAGTAGCAAAGGGAGCTAGTAGGGCCAACGGTCAGGTTGAGCGATTAATGAAAGTTATAAAGGATAACATGTCTGTTATTGAACTAAGTAGGCCATGGCACACAGCTTTACAAGAATTACAATTAGCTATAAACTGCACAATATCAAAAAGTACAGGTAAAAGTCCCATGGAATTATTATTAGGAAAAAGACGTTCCCCACCTGCCATTAAAATATTGCAAATTGACGATGACATACTAACAGACGACTTAGAGGAAGTTAGATTGATTGCTAAAAAACGGATGGACGAGCGGTCCCTTAATGATAAAACTCGTTTTGATAAAGGTAAAGCCACAATCCACCCATTTAAAGTCGGTGATTTC